TTTATTTTAAAGATTGCTATAGGCACCTGACGTTTCTGTAAACATTGGTATCGACAATGCTAAAGTGTCTATCTGCTAAATCTAGCAAATTTACACTCAGGTCTAGAAATATTCAACAATCAGGGACAAACTTGATAGTGCTAATCAGATCCGTCAAATCAACATTCTTTTAGAACAAGGTGCAAGACAATTATCAAGATGCCCATGCAGTTGTTTATTTAACACCTTAAAACTTTCGTTCACAACAAATTCCCTTTTCTTGCTTGTTATCTGACATACCTGTCGTCGACGATGTGATTTAACGTTCAAACCTGTGTCTGTGCCGCTTTCATGATCATAGCAAATTGTACTTGTAAGTGGATTTAAGAAAAACAAATAATGTAATAAATCTGTGACATCCCCTTTGCGTATGAGATAGGGCACGTTCAAAGCACTATAGTTACGTGTATATGTTTGTGTTGACCTTTTGGTTTGACCCACATTTTGACGAATAACACAGGAAATACGTAAGCTAACAAACTCATATAATTGTTTTCTTTTGTAATGTTTCGTGTTTTTTCCCTTTGGATGACATCGGAGTCAATGTTTATATCAAAACATTTCAAGTTCATATCAATCGTATTTCGTTTGTATAATGGGCAAATCCAGTATTTGCGATGGGGATGGGGGTCACAATTCAGAAGATTTGGGGATATAATACTAAGGAACAGTCGTCTTTACATGATTCCCCTCCTCCATTCTCCTTTCCCCCTCTCTCCCCCTTCCTCTCTCCATCCCCGCCCCTTCACTCTGTCTCTCTGTCTCTGTCTCTCTGTCTCTGTCTTTCTCTGTCTCCCTCTCTATATCTCTGTCTCCCTCTAGCTCTCTCTCTCTGTCTCTGTCTGTCTTTCTCTCTCTCTCTCTCTCTCTCTCTCTCTCTCACTCTCACTCTCACTCTCTATCTTTCCCTCCCATTTGCTCCTTGTATGCGCCTTGATATGGGAGGCGATGGGAACACGCCCCTGTGCCACCCCGTATACTTTCCAGGACTACGCCATTGCATAAACATACATGTACGTATACGACGTTGCAGGTCCATGCCAAAATGTACCAAATTTGTTCGAATGACCAGAAATTAGACACAAACAGGATGACAATGTGGTGAAGAAGCTATACAGGTTAACCTCAGATGTCAAAGGTCATGGTTAAAGTTGCCGTTGTCAGTCTTAATCTTAATCAATTAAATCTACAGTCTTTAACCCAATAGCTACCGTGATCAGAAACAGTCTTCATGGAAGATGCACCGTAAGGGAGAGACAGAGACACAGAGGGAGAAAGAGAGAGAGAGAGAGAGAGAGAGAGAGAGAGAGAGAGAGAGAGAGAGAGAGAAAGAGGAGACGAAACAAGACGAAACGATGGAGAAAATAGGTATAACATGGTGCGAGTTATACGAGCAAACAATATAAATGATATGATTGGTGACTCTCATTCTATTAGTAAACGGAAAATGAAAGAACGAGAAAATCAAAGTTCGAAAAAAAACCATAAGGGAGGATGAACGAAAGAACGGAAAAGCGAACAAATGAAATAACGAAAATGTTTTAAAAAAACACGAAAAAACAGAAAACGTGCCTACACAGATAAAGGCCGATGACCTTAAAATGAGTGGCGAATTTAGGGGAAGGACAAGCCGGCCTGTGCCCCCCCCCCCACCCCCACACACACAGTATCTACCTCGAAATCGAAACTCATTAAGCTTGTCTTAATTAATGGGGCGTAGACTTCAAAACTATTTCTAAGAATATATATATCAGTCACCAAAAATCTTGACCATTAGGTCTATGGGGTAAAATTGTTATAAATTCAATCAAACATTCAATTTCAATTCTGAGGCTCTTGTAATAAGCAATTTTCCGTGAAGTAATTTCCTATTTTTAGTGTTCGTTATTTTTATTATCTCAAACTTTAATGAAAAAATGGACAATTTAAAACCCATTTTGTGCGATGAACTGCAACTATGTCCGACGCAGGAACCCGAGTACGTCTGGATCGACATTTGTACTAGATAGAAACTATAATGATAATGCATTTGTGTGTCATCACTTAAATCAATCACTGCGCCATTTTCTTCAACTAATGCTTTAGAACTTTCGTTGGACCATAGTTGGACTTTGATGGGGTCAGACAAGGTCGTGTTTTGACAAGCTCAAACACCTGTGAATATCTAGTTTGATACAATATCTTTTTTTTCTCAGCTTGGTATCAGAGGTTATCCTGGTTCACCAAACTTTGATCATCTATAGGCCTCAGGAAGAAATGAAAAAGAAGAAAGAACAAACGAAAGAACGAAGGGAAGAAAGAATAGAAAAGAAAAAAAGTCGGTGAAGGACGATTAGCTGAAATTATAGGGAGTTTTCGCCTCGAGTTGATAGATTTAACACCAGTTAACTTTCCTTATGTTGACCTAGACCTTTGTAAATAGACAGGGTTGTTCAGGTTCATCTCTCGTAAAGCTATCATGGTCGCTTAAATGGTACAAATGGGGGCGTCGCCCTGGCAGGGGGTGTAGGGACTAGAACCATTAATTGCTCGTTGGAATATTTCGAACCGAGATCCTCATTGATGCCCAGATTTATTTCCCCTCTTTAGTTTCAAAGCAACGAATCTGAATATAAGATGTGAAAAAGAACGGATATATATTTTCCCCTTTCTTTCTCTCTTTTGCATGGTTCGTCAGAAGTGTGTAGCGGATGCACAGTAAAAACTGTTTTTTTTTACAAATTTGGCGAGTTTTGAAGAAGAAACAAATTCGTAATACACTTTCATTGCTGGTATTAATTCACGGTTATCAGATTTTATAGCATAACAATACTGAAGGTGAGACGTAAATCATATCACTTTTATATAAACATCTTAATTATCAATAATTGATATCAATATGCCTATTGTGTACGTGTATGTACAGTACTTGACAAATTAAATGTAGAGAGCTTGACGAAACATTAAAAACATTTGAATTAAACTGAGAAAATCGAACATGACAATAATATTTCTCTCTTTCTCTCTTTTTTGTTAGAGAGACATGTGGGAAATCTTGAGTTTGACACATTTATTTTTCTCCTAAAAATGATAAAAATCCTCGATAAACGTGAGATTTCATGGAATTTTCTGATTTTTACGAAACACCCGCAAGCAGTTCCCTTGATATTGATTTCAGAAAGAACCACCAATTAACGCAAATCCGCTACCACTTTACACCAAAGCATCGATGGTTCTTTTGTCTCTGACTGTTATAATTGTGCCTTCACCGTCTCGACATGTCATATTTGAAAGGAAAGGCTTTGATGGGCTGAGGCAGTAGGCAAGCACGGGTATATATCTGTGCTGCCTGTCTCTGATGTCTTGGTGTTATATGTGTGTGTTAGCTAGCCAAGCAGAAATGATCGAATGCGGCTTTTTGATTCGATTACACCATGTCATCAACACCAATAGCGACAGAAAATTCAATCATTTTTCGGTTGCGCGGGCAAATTGTGTTCCGACTTTGTTTTTTATGTACAGTGAGAATTATTTCGTTAAAAAAACGAGATATGTTTTGGCCACTGTGTGTGTTTGGTAAGGACGGGAGGAGGCAAGCTTTAACACGCAAGTCTACTTTCTGTCTCGTCGCATATTATAATTCTTCATTACCCCCCCCCCTTTATTCTCCCCACTCTTTCCTCTGTTGCTTTACAAAATCACAGTATTCCATATTTGCATTTAACTGTCTCGTTTTCCTTCTCCTCATCTGTTTGTTTATTTACCCATCAATCTATATTCCTATCTGACTGTCTCTCTCTCTCTCTCTCTCTCTCTATTTATTCTATTTATTTTACCTTTATACCGGTTTTTTGGTTTTTATCTATTATTCTTCTATGTTATCTCTATCCCAATTTCTAGCCTGTTATCAATGTACCTATAGATACATTGGTACATTAATCTCACCATTCGTATTTCTATTTTCACTGACTGTATATATGTACCCAGGCGCGTACGCAGGATTTTTTCAAGGGGGGGGGGGGGTAACATTTATAAATCGGGCCGAAAATTTAGCAACGACTCAGCCAGCCGCTGAATAAGTGTTGGGGGGGGGGGGGGGGGGGGGGGGGTAAGAGGACACTTTTTTTTTTTTTTTTTGGTCTCGAAATTTGAAAATTAACATTTGGTTCCGTTGGGGGGGGGGGGGGGGTAAGGTCACCTTTTTAGGTCTGCCATGGGAATAATTTTTTTGTTGTTGTTGTCAATAATTGAAAAAAAATCCAAGGGGGGGGGGGTGATGGGGGGGGGGGGAGGGTTTACACACACTTAACCCCCCCAAACCACCCCCCCCCCCTGTGTACGCGCTTGCATGTACCTATCTTGTTTCCTTTCCCATCGCTCTCAAGTTATGTTCAATTATCAATCAATAAAGTTATTATTAACATTATGATTATTATTACTACTACTTTAAATATACTACTACTACTACTACTACTACTACTTACTACTACTACAACTACTACTACTACTACAACAACTACTACTACTGCTACTACTTCTATGACAACTTCTACTTCTACTATACTATTACCACTGCTACTACTACTACTACTACTACTACTACTACTACTACTACTTCTACTACTACTACTACTACTACTACTACTACTACTACTACTACTACTACTACTACTACTACTACTACTAGTACTACTACTACTACTACTACTACTACTACTACTACTACTACTACTACTACTACTACTACTAGTACTACTACTGATACTACTACAACTACTACTACAACTACTACTAGTACTACTACTACTACTACTACTACTACTACTACTACTACTACTTCTACTAATTTTCATCATTATCATCATTGTGTTCACTGCAGATTATAATCATCATTTTTTATCATTATCATTTTTAATCATTGTCATCATTGTTAAGTCAAATCAAATCAGTGATTACTGTCGAATGTCTGTTTTTATCCTTAGATCGGATTAGATGGTGCTAAACGGTGAGATGACGAGTAGTCAGGCTAAACTCGCCGTCGATGAGGGTGTCGTTGTCAGACGAAAAGCCCCCAAGGTCATTACCAGGAATCTGGTCGTCATCGTTGTCGTCTTGGCACTCCTCACCGTGTCACTTATAGTAGCTACCGGTAAGACGATGAATGCGAGCTGCAAATGAGAAATTCAAATTCACATTTATTAATTGTCATTATATGGTAAACAATCCTGGTAAACAATAACAAAAATATAACAGTACAGTAAATACATTGTTTTGGAACGCCAATTACATATACGGTGCGTCCCAGAAAAAACGAAACCGAGAATTATAAATGTTTTATTGTAACTTAATCGCAATTATAATTAATAATTGACACATATTTGTAAAGCTTAGATCCTCTTTTTTCATTTGATGCAACTCATATGATGCATATTCAATGCATGAGTGATTAAAAACAATTTGAAGAGAGGATACCAAAAAGTCATTTGGCAGGCGGTATCTGAATTTCAAAGAGATCATAACATTACTAGAAAGTTCAATTTCTGCCCTTTCATATGACACCTCCAAATAGGAAAAAAGAGCCAGGACTAAAAAAGTTCTCTTTGTTTAAAGTAATGCTTGCATTTCCATAATTTGATTAAACGAGTTCATTTTCACTGGCTGCCTGCCGTAGCAACAAACAGAGTTGACAAAAAGAAAACTCCGTTTCGTTGACGATCAGCCATGCATCAAGTCTTTCGTCTTCTTTGTTTCTTCCTCCTATCATCTTCTGTAATATGTAATGCCATGGTTTTATCATTCTATCACTTTCTCTTTATGTCTTATTTTATGTTATTCTTTGTTTTTATAATTTCCCCTTGCTATCCATTGTTCTATATCACCTTTCTTTATGTAATTTTTTGTTTTATAGTTCTAACTTTCTATTTCTGTCATCCTTATGTTATTCTTCGTATCAGATTTTCACGCACTGTGAATTTATTACCTGATTTAATCACCTGATCTCAAAAATTGGTCCCGTGACCGACGAAGGCACCGTCTTTACGCTCCAGTAGCCGACGCCCGGTGGGGTCACTCAATGTGACTTAGGGACCGCATGATCGTTTAATACCAAAATCGTGGAAAAGGGGTCAATTTCAAAATAATTTCTCGAAATATAGAAAATAGGGGTGCACAGGTTGATAAATAGGGGTCATGAAAAGGGAAAAGAGAAAACCGGGAAGGAAAAAAAAGGGAAAAATAATGTCCTTGAAATAAGGTTAAAATAGGGGTAAATTTGCGAAAGTGTCCTTACAATCTTATAAATAGGGGTATTCCAAAGTACGATTTTGTCCTTGTTTTGACGTAAAAAAGGGGGTTAAAATTCACAAAATGTCCTTGAAATTGACCGCTAAAGGGGGTTATTTGCATTTGTGGTAACGGTCATACGTGTCACCCTCTGCGGGGAGTGACCCCACCGGGAGCCGACGTCGGGTGCCTAAATCGAAAGCTGGCTATTGAGTACCAAGTGCGACCGAGGTATGACTGCTCTGACTTTAAAGCCATAAGAATGAATCATGATCATGACGAAAAAAGTGATATTTCTATTTCCCTTTGTGTTTTGTTTCTTGTTTGCAATTTCTTCAGTTGTAATCGCGTCAGACCGGGATAACCTTTCTTCAAGATTACGATCATATACCGGCCACCAAACCTCACCATGCCCTGAACCGAAGCAATGTCTCACGCCCTCTTGTGTTAAAGCAGGTAAGAATGACGCGCATGCGTATTCTCCGTTGCACTTGAAGCGTCAATTTAATGACGCAATACTGCGTTAGCGACCCAAGGCATCTTTCAGATGTGACCAGTCTATCCACAGCGCGTTATAATTCGCGTCCATTTGTTCATTTTTATTCATAAACAATTGGCGTGTGCATAGTAATGAGCAATGCATAGTATTGTTATGATCTTTGATTCTGATTCGTAGATTCTCTAATGAGAACACTGCTATAATAATTGTAGCGATAATTAACCTTTAGACTTGTATTAATGATAAATGGTGTTTTGGAGTCACTCCCATTCACATTTCAGCTGTATGTTGAAGCCTGCGCACCATTTGGAGTTCAATGAGGGACAATTTACCTTTTACCTTACCCCCAATTTTCAATTTCCAAACCGTGGAAACGTATACTTCACACATGCTTAACTGTTTCGTATTTTGACCAAAATTTGGGGAAAGATATGACCCTTCAACTGCCCGACTACGATAGCTACTTGTTGGGAAAATCTTGACCACGCTTTTGGTCAAAATACGAAACAATTATGCAGGTGTGAAGTTGGGTCCTTACGTTTACAAATACAACTGGGCAAAACATTGCCCAATAGATGGTTGGGTTGACTATTGACACAACGTTGGGTAAAGTGTTGGAAAAATATTGCCCAACATTTTCACAGTGTATTGATGTCAACCTTCCGAAAGTGGTGTTTTCATAATGATTATTGACCTCCTTTGAATTTATATTTATATGGAAGACTTTAGAAGACAACTATTACAGTCCAACTAGGGCATGCTTGAAAGCATCTTCTAATCTGTCCTGACTAAATTAATGTGCAATGTTGTTCAATTTCTGAAAAAAACTTGCTTGCTGGCAATAGTGTATGCATGTTTTTATACATTTTGAATGTCTAGTCCGCTTAATAATGGCACGTAATTGTTTGTATTATTTGACACATTATCCTATCGATAGGCGTAACGATTTGCTTTAGTATCATATAACAAATATAACAAATGACAAGTAAGGTTTTCCTGAAAATGGCATTACAATGTATATTCATCGTCATGATAAATGTAGTATAATTTACAACAATGGGCAAATAATATTGTTGTTTCCAGACCAATGATTTAAGCGAGAAGAACTTACACTTAATGTTGAAGCTGTAGCTGTTTGTAAATACATGAACTTGAAATAATAAGTAGCCTTGAAAGTGTCGCAATATATCATGTGTGAGTGAGCGTGAACTTTAATGGTGTAGGTTTGTTTGAGACTATATAGCCTTTGCGCTGTTTCATTTATAAAGATATATATCTCCAATCAAATCAAACTAAGTGTTGTTAGCGAACAACTCCCAATGTCAATCTTCTATTCTCCTAAATACACCTGGGAAACTTAAAAAATGCATTACAATGTAAATTCATCATTAATGAAAACGAAATACAATATACAACAATGGGCAAATAATATTATTGTTTCCAGACCAATGATTTAAGTGGTAAGAACTTACATTTAATGTTGAAGCTGTAGCCGTTTGTAAATACATGAACTTGAAATAATAAGTAGCCTTGAAAGTGTCGCAATATATCATGTGTGAGTGAGCGTGAACTTTAATGGTGTATTGTTTGAGACTATATAGCCTTTGCGCTGTTTCATTTATAAAGATATATATCTCCAATCAAATCAAACTAAGTGTTGTTAGCGAACAACTCCCAATGTCAATCTTCTATTCTCCTAAATACACCTGGGAAACTTAAAAAATGCATTACAATGTAAATTCATCATTAATGAAAACGAAATACAATATACAACAATGGGCAAATAATATTATTGTTTCCAGACCAATGATTTAAGTGGTAAGAACTTACATTTAATGTTGAAGCTGTAGCCGTTTGTAAATACATGAACTTGAAATAATAAGTAGCCTTGAAAGTGTCGCAATATATCATGTGTGAGTGAGCGTGAACTTTAATGGTGTAGGTTTGTTTGAGACTATATAGCCTTTGCGCTGTTTCATTTATAAAGATATATATCTCCAATCAAATCAAACTAAGTGTTGTTAGCGAACAACTCCCAATGTCAATCTTCTATTCTCCTAAATACACCTGGGAAACTTAAACAATGCATTACAATGTAAATTCATCATTAATGAAAACGAAATACAATATACAACAATGGGCAAATAATATTGTTGTTTCCAGACCAATGATTTAAGTGGTAAGAACTTACATTTAATGTTGAAGCTGTAGCCGTTTGTAAATACATGAACTTGAAATGATAGGTAGCCTTGAAAGTGTCGCAAAATATCATGTGTGAGTGAGCTTGAAGTTTAATGGTGTATGTTGCTTTGAGACTATATAGCCTGTACACTGTTTCGTTAATGAGATATATCTCCAATCAAATCAAACTGAATGATGTTATCGAACAAATGAACAATATCAATCTGGCTTAAAGTGACTTTTTGTATGAAATGTTACTTATTATCTTCCTTCTACTTTACTAACTCCCTAACATGCAAAAGAAAAACTGGAAAAATTCACTGTGCGACTCTGTCTTAGAGTAAATTCTCCCAACCATTTTCGAATTTTTCAAACCGCTTTTCCATGAAAATTATTAGACATACAACAGGCTTTAAAAAAAATTGTCAACACTTAAATGTCTGAAATGGGTTATAAAGCTAATGCATTGCTTTGTGACAATTTTCATTCCGCTAAAATGTAATTAAATTGTAAGAATAGAGTTGGGAGAATTAAGAAATCGATCGGATCTTTTTTCCCAATTTGTATCATCAATAATGGTCTGCTTTTACTCAAACTTTCAGATTATCTTAAATTTTACATTTAGCATTGAATTCACCATTTTCTCTCATCTGAACAATGTTACCAAGTCCCTTTAATGGCGGTGGAACTAAGTTTAATGGGGTAGGTTTGCCCGTTATCGCGATCTTTAGAGGGCGCTGTCTTAATCATTGTGTTTCACCTCGTTGTGTTCCGAATGGTTGATATACCATTCATTACAAATAGTTATCGAAATGTCTTGGTATAAAAGAAAATGTCATTTTGTCCTGGAAGAATATACATGTAGATAGATCCTATAGTTCAATCAAAAATGTTATGTAGTCAACTGTCTCGATGCGTTTGCCAAGTTAGGCAAATCTTGGCAGAAACCTATAAGACTTGGAATAAATTGTTTCCAAAGTGTTCGTGCTTCATATCTTAATTTTGAACTAGCCAATTATTGCATTTGGTTTAAATTAGACAGTTAAGAACTTCTGAAGAAATTGACAAATAATATGATTGCTTGGCCGAGTGTTTGAGTAGACAAATATTATGAAAGGAAAGCATATTAGTCCCATGAATAATTATGAAAAACATAATATTTCAAATAATATTTCCGGGGCGGGAAAAAACGATATCTTTGAAAGAAGACATGTATATTTTGTATCGTGGTCGGTGTCGTGGTCGGTGGTAAGTGTCGTGGTCGAGTTGATACGTCACCGGACTGTGGACCACAAGGTCCGCGATTCGAGTCCCGCCGCGGCACTAATGTCTTTTGGCAAGTCATTGATCTACATTTGCTACACTCAACCAAGGTGATGTAAATGGGTGCCTGGCAGGAATTAATTCCTTGTAATGATAGAGCGCCGTAATGGCAGCCTTGCTAAAGCCGGGGTAATAATATGGAGCGCCAGGAGTGTCAAGTCTGACAGATATGAGCGCTATACAAGAACCCAATATCATTATTATTATATTTGTGTGCCTCTCTCTCCGTTATGACTACAAATAGCTGCATCATTGATCGACAACATGAAGACGGATGTGGACCCCTGTGATAACTTCTTCGAGCATGCGTGCGGAGGATGGACGGAGAAGAATATCATCCCTGAATACCGGAGCTCATTCTCATCATTCTCAACGCTGAGGGAGCAACTCCAAGTCACACTCAAAGGTAACCATGGAAACGGGACTGATACTCTATGTGCTGTCTTTCGATTGGATTTCTTCACTGTTTTGTTGTTGTTGTTGTTCTACGTCCTTTTTCAGTTAAAATGATTTATTATGTATAATTTTGTCCAAAAAGCCTTATTTTGTTGTACAATTTTGAAAATATATTGCCAATTATGGGCGTTACCGCTATTTAAAGATGAAATAGGAGGGGGGGTTCGCGGAGGAGTGAGAGAGAAAGGGGAAAGAGAGAAGGGAAAAGAGGAGAGAGAGAGAGAGAGAGAGAGAGAGAGAGAGAGAGAGAGATAGTGAGGGATAATAATCGGAAGCTCTCGGCATCTGCAAGTATTTAAAGCAGTCTACCCTCACATGTCGTAGAAAAATACATTTTAATTTTCACTTCCCTTCTATACATGTTTATTTCCTCCAGCTTTATTCGAGGCAGAGATACAACCTAGTGAAACGTTAGCAGAGAGGAAAGTGAAATACTTTTATTCAGCGTGTATAGATACAGGTAAGATACAGGTTTTTAGCTCACACAAATTATTTTCTGCAAATATTTCATACTGCTCCTTCATACATTTCTATATGAATTCTCGGAAATAATGCAACCATTATTGTTCTTGTGTTTAGGGTGAGGGATATGGACAAACAAATTGTTTAAATACTGATTAAATAGGGCCCATAGCTTCATTACAGCCTAATGCTCGTTATAGTGGGTTTTCATTGGGAACCATACAGGTGTTTATTCAATAACAGGTATCGTCAATCACCAAGATTGGACTTCACTTGTACGACCATCAGGTCGTGTGTAAAGCAATGTGCCCTAGCCTACCTTCATAAGGAATTTGAATCATAACATCAAATATCCCTCATCCTCGAGATACACATTTCTTGTGGGGCAACAGGGTCGCTGCTGTTAAAGAGACAGTTGCACGCGCAAACACATTAATTGTTAATTCAACCAAATCTGGTGTCAACAAATTATGATGCAATACGCATGACTACTGAAGGGCTTGAAATGTAGGAGCACTGTGACATAGCAGTGTCCCTCTTGACCTCAACGACACGAGAGGTCTCGGGTTCGACCCTTATTCGACCTTGGACTATGTGTTTGCAACATTTGTCCCTCTCGGGCCAGGTAGGTTTCAAATGATTATGGGTTGTACTGGGGTAGTAATAATTGCAGGGTAATCAGTCATAGCAGTTATTACATACTGGTGAGGCAACCCCTAGCAAATACATGTACGACCATATTCAATGTCTTCGTAATCATATTGCTTTCGAACAGAGAGAATAGAAGAACTCGACGACGCGCCCATACGCGATCTCCTTCATGGTCTCGGTGGATGGCCGGTCCTCGGAGATACCTACGGTGGTCGATGGAATGAATCCAACTTCGATTTCGTCTGGTTGTTGGGAACTCTCGTCAACAAGTATAGTAACTCCATGCTCATCGAGCCGTACGTAGGAGTCGATGATAAGAATGCGTCAAGATATGTCCTCCAGGTAAGAAAGATGGAATAGGGTTGAGATTGCAAACATCTCATACAGTTTATCACCTCACGAAGTGTTGCAGCGGCGCACGAAACGTCGTGATCTTTTTTTAGATCCCTTGTTGACCATACATTGCGAAACAAACGAATATCACTAGCGATATTATTTTCGATACTTCATCCACAATAATAGTATAGTATTAATGACTGCTTTGAGAGAAACAACTATTTCTCGAATATTAAAGCAGTCATTAATACTTTTATATGCCGAAAAAAGAGTCAACTTATGACACCACCTTGGTCTTTATCTAGTTTATCTGCACGGTTGTTTTTTATGAGTGTATCTTTGAGAGTAGACTAAAAATAAAAAATAAAAAACAATTTGAATGTAGGCGAAGATGGGATGTGATCTCTTGCGCATCAATCATGTTGTGACAAAAGTCACCGTCTTAAACCGCTCGGCCATCGCGCACTGTTACCATAGTTAGCAATTTTCTCTGCTTTATACATTAATATGGATTCAAAACGGCTTCGCGTGCTGGATACTTCGCGGCAGCTCCATTAAACGGGCCCTTCTTTTACTTTTTCAATGCATTGGCACGAACTTAGATCAAAATCTATCGGCAGATGTTGTTTTTGAAAGTTTATTTTCGTCTTCATGTCAACAATGCAAGATAAAATTGTCGGTAAGATCGATCGAGATTCAATTGTATTGAAATTACCGCCCCAATTCATCGCACACGTACGGTATCCTCGATCGCCCAGACCATTTTTTAACATGTCAACCTATGGGTATTTCACCAAGACTGAACTATTTTCCCGGTAACCATGGTTACTGGGATTTTAGAAATATTTTTTAGAACTATTACATGGGTTTGGAATTTTACCGGGAATTTTACAGGAATAGTTAAAGTTTATCAATGCAATTTCGACCAATCAGATGGCTGGATTTCTTAAGTGAGGTATATAACATCTCATATCGTATACCATTACTAGTTTGCATCCCACCACAGCATCGACAATCATCTTCACAACACATTCTTGCTATTCATTCTGGAGCAAAAACATCAACATCAACGACAACAAGAAAAACAACAACAACAACAACACGAACAAGAATATAAGAACAACAACAGCAGCAAAAAGTACGGTTGCATAGTACTGGCATATGAAGGTCCGAAACTTTGGAACATTTCCCCAATAAGACAGATATCGAAATGTTTAAGAAAAGCGTTAAAAACCTATCTATTTGATAAATGTTTATTGTAATTGTATAAAGTATAAATTAAAGGTACATCGAGAGGGACTACGGTTACGAAGTGCGCTACAGAGGAACAAAGCATTTTTTCAATTATTATTCTCCTGCAGAGGCAATTTAACATGATATTAATTTTATTCAAGCCGCTTTAGTTCAAGGAGCTATTGCATTTTGGAAGCGATTGATTTCAAACAGCAATAAATTTAAAACCTTTCGGCTGGAGTAAGCCTTTGAATTTTAGAAGTGATTGTTGGCAACGTGACCTAAAATTCGGTCCATTTAGGACGGAATACCTACTGATTTTTTTGGTGGGAGTTCCTGCTAAACGGACATTAAGAATTATTTCCGTCTGGGTCTGGGCTACTACTGAATTTATGAAAGGGCCTCTTGCCAAACGAATATGAAAATGATACTAGTTTCTGCTTGAGTAATTGTTGTATGTACCATATTATTCAGCGCATTTGAAGTTAGTAAGTCATATTATGACTTGAAAGAGAAATAGTTAATCCTTATCCTTTATCGCAGCTCGTAATTCATAAATTCATGTCTTTTTATGATCGTATTGGATTGAACTATTTTAGAAATATGTGTATCGATGTTGAGGGTTTCGGTATACATTTGCAATATTTGTGTTATTTCTAGATTAGGCTATTGAATGTTTAGGTTGATAGGCTTTATTTATTTTGTCCGAAGTACCATGCCAACCTTTCCAACACAAAAATTGAGATATCATAAACGTGTAACAAGTTGGTCTTGAGTTGGCAACATGATCATTTTTATTTCACAAAGCTCTTCCAAAATGTCATTGAAGAGATGGGATGTACCGCATCTAATACATGATGATGATCATAGGTGACGAAACCCCACAAGTCAGTCATTTAGAACTGTGGCTCCTAGGTCCCACTTATTTAACCGAAGTTTAAAAATTGTGGATTTTGTCTTTTGATTGGAAAAAATGTGTATTAATTTACTGTCTCAAAAAAATTGACAAAGCGACAATTAATTTGTTTTACATTTCTATTTTTGTCTCTTAAAAGATCGACCAGTCATCTCTCGGCATTTCCAGCAGGGAATATTTCTTGAACACGGAAAAGTATCAAAAGGTGAGTGAAAATATGCTGATAATATTTTTGAAGATTTTCATGTAACGTTTTGTGTATTAAAGCTTATCTGCACTAGTTTATAGGAGGGATTAGACTACCCTGTAAGGTCACTGGACAGGTAGTTATCTCATCAACTCAGCTCTCAATTAACATAAGAAATAGAAGATCATGGGGACCAATGGTCACCGATTAAACATTTTTCTACATAGAGGGAGCAAGTAGCTACAAGTAGGACAGTGTGGCTTTAAGATGACTAAAACAAATGACTACCAACGAAAATGCCACTACGTCTAATGCCAATTCTTTAGTCACCATCGCCTTTTTACTCCGTCTTGTTGTCAGTTTTTCAAAAGCCCTTTGGTCTATTATACATTTAGTCTAATCTCCAGTTGGTCTAATGCGCATTCATGTCTTTCCCATTTGATCTATTTTCCATATGTTCCAAATACTGGCAAGGGCCGAAGGGATTTTCGTGGCTGAACTAGAATATTAGTCCAATAAGCACAAGGTGAAACGATGAGTAGCCCGAATGATCATTAGACCATTCATAAAACCGCTGTTAAAAATGACGTAGACTAAACCCGTGGACTTGTCCATTTTTTGGATTGCTTATAAGAGCTCCACAGGGTATATTTGTTATCGTCATCGTGAATATATTTACATATTTTGAATTTATTTTTGTCGAGTCCAGGTTCAGGATGCCTATCTGAAGCTCATGGTGACGATAGCCACGCTACTCGGAGCAGACGCACAAGTAGCCCAGTCAGATATGTGGGATGCATTCAATTTCGAGATAGAACTTGCCAATGTAAGATTGTGATTTCATATTTGTCCGTAACTGATCGGTGTAGGCCGTCCATCCGTATTACAAGAGAGACTGAGAGAGAGAGAGAGAGAGAGAGAGAGAGAGAGAGAGAGAGAAATAGAAAGAGGGAGAGGGACAGAGGAGAGAGAGGGAGAGAGAGATACATAGACAGACAGAGAGAGAGAGAGCAAGAGGGAGATAGACAGAGAGAGAGAGTGGGAGCGAGAAAGAAAGATAAAGAGAAGTAGAGAGAGAGAGAGAGAGAGAATACTGTGTCTTCTTTCCTCCTTGTATTATCCAATATTTGAGTTTACTGTCATACGCCTTCTATACTATTGTAACTGCACGATATGTTAAGCTGTCTATTTTTTTCTGTTACTGTTGTTGTTGTTTTTATTGTAAATGAATTTTCAATATAAGTTCGTCAATGAAGTAAAAATCCTACCATCTAAACCGCAATATTACATCAGCATGTAACAAATAGTTCCCAGTCAATTGTTTTGAACTACGTTGTGTCTATAATTTTATCAACAGTTAACTGTACCTCCCTCAGACAGGAGAGACAGTGATGCTCTATATAATCCTACAACCCTTACCGGATTGATGCAAGACTACCCACAGGTTTGTACGTCAGTCAAAACCGTAGACGCGTATCTCTGAGGGAAAGCAAAATAACCATAATAATGAGTTTTTTCATTCGGATTTTTGATAGTCTAAAAGCTAAGGAAAAGATTGTGAATACTTGGTATATCCAAATGTTGATTACCGACGAATACTAATCAAATTTGTATTTAATATCTATTGGTCTCTTTATTCTCGTATTAATTTTGCTTTTTTCGTAATTCTTACTGCATGATCTTTTAAAAACAGTTTTCAAGCATAGCTTTCACTTAAGCTTATTTAATTTAATCTCATTTAAATTCAGCCTTTCCTTCTTCATGTAAACAAACTGATTTGATGTACTTAATTTTGCCTTCGTTTCTGTCAGCAAAACTTAATTTTAAATTAAATTCTTGCGTTATGTGAAATTAAAACATATCTGGATTTAATATATGAACGATTTCTTTTAACCTAGATGGATTGGACAAGATTCTTTGACATTGTTTTACCCAACGTGAGCAAACCATTAGCAGACGATGAATTTATCAACAATAAAGAGCCAGAGTTCGTCACTGACGTTCTAGCACTCGTCCAAAGGACACCGTTACGGTAAGAATGAAATTATCTATTAGAGAGGGAGCTCCTCTATAAGTTGTGACGTCATTTCTTTTCGACACCGACTATGTTCAAATTTAACAACCCTGTATTCCGACGCAACTACGTTTTGATATCATACCGCCACCCCTCTGTTTCACAACGCAGATATTTTGATATTCATCTCTTTCTTTCGTCACTCCTCTCATTCGACAATCCCTTTCTTTCGACATCACCATCTGTCGACAACCATCTGCGTCGACAACCATCTGCCCTGACATCCCTCTGTTTCGACACCCCTCTTTTTCAACATCCCTGTGTTTCGACACCCCCCTTTTCAACATCCCTGTGTTTCGACACCTGTTTCGACATTCCTCTGTTGGACAACCCTCTATTTCAACACCCCTTTGTTTCGATATCCTTCTGTTACAACATATTTCTGTTTTGACACCCGTCTGTTTCGACATCCCTCTTTTCCGATACTCATCTGATTCGACATCCCTCTGTTTCGAGACCCCTTTGTTTTAAACATCCCATTGTTTCGTCACCCTTATGTTTTGCCACGCTGTTTCTCAACCTACGACGTTACGAAATTCTCCGTTTCGACCACTTAATGCCTGGATTACATTTGGCCTGCGATTAGTCTACGGAGCCCGTATCCTGCTCGTATCCCCTTTTCCGTGCGGCCTCTGTGCGGTGGCAGGAGGCGGCCGTGAGATTTTCGTACGAATTCACGGGCTCCGCAACCTTTACGATTTTGTTTCGCAAGAAGTTAAACAAATTTGAAAATGTCGTAAGCCCGTAGCCCGTATACATGTCCTAGGTGGCATTGCACAATCCCTGCACGGGCATCGCCCGGAGGCCTCGCACTGATTGTGCAGCAAACGTACGATTTTTCGGTGAACATGGGGGCAAAGAAAATCGTACGGAGATTGTAGACTCATGGGGCATTCGCACGGCAATTGCACAGCTATCGCAAGGTTGCTGTATGATCACCGCGCCTTCTCCGCGCAACCTTAGCACGGGAGCTGCACGGGCTTCGTGTGATTTCCGTGCGGAGGCTGCGGAAACTGCACGGCTACTGCATGAAAATTGCACGATTTCCGTACAATCTCCGAGCAGCCTCTGTACGGATTTGCCCCGGCCTGCCCCCGAGGGCCAATACAATAAATGGCACGATGCTCGTAGATAATGTAAACACAAACATCGTAGCCCGTAGCCTCCTACGATGTCTACGAAAAATCGTAGACTAATTCATCGTACGGCGCCCGGGGCAAATGTAATCCAGGCATTACATGTACATGTACGTCTTGACAATTCTATGTTTCCACGTCCATATAATCAGGCAACCTACTTTTCAATAACTTAGGGCTGTCAGAACATACATTTATGGAGACACGGGCATGCCAAAATAAAGTAATGCCTTAATAATTAGAAGGATATCGAAAGATAGGGGTGTCGAAACATAACGATGTCAGAACATAGAATGTTGGAATCTAGTAGCAGGTGGGATAATCGACGTTTTATAATTAAACATGAAATTCAAACTCTATTTTTCTAAATGATTAAGGATATACAAGCTTTTGAACTCATCTTGATACAACAATATTACATGAGGGAGAGGAAGAACTAAGTGTTTTATATCCATCTATACGACCTGTTGAACGTTTTTCTTTGTCACATTTATGACTAATTCATTGACCCATTGCAATTCGATTTTGACCTCTAGAATCCTGGCCAATTACATGATCTGGAGGATCACCAAGCTTCGAGTTATGAACCTCAGCAAACGATTCCAGGCTCCAAACGACGAGTTTCGCGCCGTCATGTTCGGCGTGGGAGCAGACGATGCAAGGTGGCGACTCTGTGTCGACGGCATCAATGGCGCCATGGATTTCGCCACCGGAAAGATGTACGTGAAGGAGAATTTCGCCGGGGAGAGCAAAAACAATGTAAGATATAACGATTCCCCATAATATAAAACAAGAATTATATATTTGAGTAAGGAGGAGGGCAACACGACCTGGGTAACATGTTTGTCTACACAGGAACATTAGACAGGAAAATGATCACAAAGAAAAGGCACACCAAAAATCATCTCAAGGGCAATGCCAATACCCTTTTTAATGTCAACACCCTATTGTATGTCCCATAGTAATAATGTTCGCATCACGCCACATACAATTGTTATGTTAGCACATTTCAAAAGTTTATTTACAAGCCATTTACATTGCCTAGAGCTGTTTTTTAAAATAAAATATAGTTACAATCGTGTTCAAGAATTTGTTTTTAAGACAAATAAGTGTGTTCGTCACAATGTGCTCTCTCATTTTCATTAACCCCTCTTCTCCCAAAGACCACTCTCCCTCTCAGGCGCGGATCCAGGATTTCTTAGGGGGGGGGGGGCCCAAATTTGAAATTATGCGAGCCAAATATTGGTACGTAATGGTGACCAACAGTGACGTGATGCGGGGGGGGGGGGGGGTCGGTGCAGGGAGGGGCGAATTTCCCCCTCCCTCCTCCGCGAAACGCGGAAGCTTTGAAGTTTCCTTAAATCATGAGAGAAACAAAACGATTCGTTGTACCGTTCTCGAAAATAAATCTCGTCTGAATTTAGTTTTTGCCCTCTCGCGCGAAGCGCGGAAAATGTTAGGATTTATTAAATTATTAGAGAAAGAAAACGATTCGTTGTAGAGTTCTCAACTCTAAATTCTCGTCTGAATTCATGTTCCCCCCTATCGCGCGAAGCGCGGAAGCTTTTAAGTTTCCTTAAATCATGAGAGAAACAAAACGATTCGTTGTACAGTTTTCGAAAATAATTCTCGTCTGAATTTAGTTTTTCCCCTCTCGCGCGACGCGCGGAAAATTTTAGGATTTATTAAATTATTAGAGAAAGAAGACGATTCGTTGTAGAGTTCTCGACTCTAAATTCTCGTCTGAATTCAGGTTCCCCCCTTTTAAGTTTCCTTAAATCATTAGAGAAAAAAAACGATTCGTTGTACCGTTTTCGAAAATAATCCTCGTCTGAATTTAGATTCTCCCCCCCTCTCGCGCGAAGCGCGGAAGCTTTTAAGTTTCCTTAAATCATTAGAGAAAAAAGACAATTCGTTGTACCGTTTTCGAAAATAATCCTCGTCTGAATTTAGATTCTCCCCCCCTCCCGCGCGAAGCGCGGAAGCTTTTACGATTCATTAAATCATTAGAGAAAGAAGACGATTCGTTGTACCGTTCTCGACTCTTAATCCTTGTCTAGATTCAGTTCCCCCCTCCCTCTCCCCCTCCTGCGCGAAGCGCGGAAGCTTTGACGTTTCATTAAACTATATGAAAGAAGGCAATTCGTTGTACCGTTCTCGAATCTTAATCCTCGTCTGAATTCAGTTCCCTCCCCCCCCCCTCCGCGCGAAGCGCGGAAGCTTTTACGTTTCATTAAATTATTAGAGAAAGAAGACGATTCGCTGTACAGTTCTCGACTCTTAATCCTCGTCTGAATTCAGGTCCCCCCCCCCTCTCGCGCGAAGCGCGGAAGCTTTTAAGTTTCATAAGATTATGAGAGAAAGAAGACGATTGGCTGAACAGTTCTCGACTCTTAATCCTCGTCTGAATTTCGATTCTCCCCCCTCCCGCGCGAAGCGCGGAAGCTTTTATGTTTCATTAAATCATTAGAGAAACAAGACGATTCGTTGTACAGTTCTCGACTCTTAATCCTCGTCTGAATTTAGTTAACCCCTTCCCCTCCTGCGCGATTCGCGGAAGCTTTGACGTTTCATTAAACTATTGAAGAAAGAAGGCGATTCGTTGTACCGTTCTCGACTCTTAATCCTCGTCTGAATTCAGGTCCCCTCCCCCCCCCCTCCCGCGCGAAGCGCTCAAGCATTAAAGTTTCATAAGATTATGAGAGAAAAAAGACGATTTTCTGTTCAGTTCTCGACTCTTAATCCTCGTCTGAATTCAGGTTCCCCCCTCCCGCGCGAAGCGCGGAAGCTTTTAATTTTCATTAAATCATTAGAGAAAGAAGACGATTCGTTGTACCGCTCTCGAAAATAATCCTCGTCGGAATTAAGTTTCCCCCCCCCCTCCATCCCGCGCGAAGCGCGGAAGCTTTTACGTTTTATTAAATCATAAAAGATTGGTATAACCGTTCTCGCCTCTGAATCCTTGTCTGAATTTAGGTTCCCCTCCCGCGCAAAGCGCGGAAGCTTCACGTTTCATAAGATTATGAGAGAAAAAAGACGATTCGCTGTACCGTTCTCGATTGTTAATCCTTGTCTGGGGCGGCGGCGAAGCCGGCCCCGGAAGCTCAGAGGTTTTAGGCGTTTAATTAAGGTCATATGAGCATATTTTTTTTTGTATACCTTATTATTTCGTGACACTGGCAGGTAACTATTTGGCGTTGGGTCAGGGGCTTTAGGAATTAAATTACCGTCAGATGAGCATCTAAGGGCCCGCCGTAGGGCCCTTGGTGGGATCCAGGGGGCAGAGCCCACGGAAGCTTAGGGGTTTTAGGCATTTAATCACGGTCAGATGAGCATATTTTGATGCCTCATTATTTGTTAACACTGGCAGTTAACTATTCTTTCTTTCTTGCTCTCATTCTATTTTATTTCTCTTTAATATACCTTTTCAAACAAAGTGTGGGAGGGGGGGGGGGGGGAGAGTTCGAGGCTCCCGATCCCCACCGTACCTCGGGCCCTGACATGTAGGAATCTTAAGGATCATATTTCTTGCCTGGCTGCAAATTTAGGAATTGGTCATTTTCCAACAAACACATACAAACGTATAATTTACTAAAAAGTGAGGAAAAATCTCGGAAATGATATAATTTCAGCATTATTTGTAATCCACCGTTGTGGAATTAGAAATAAACCACATTTGAATTTGATTTCCACTAACCCCCCCCCCCCTCCCTATCAGTATGCCAGTATCTCCTCTTTTCCTTTCCCTTTCCTTCCTTCTCTCTTATTTGTTTTATGGGGGGGGGGGGGGGGTCAACAGCCTGGGAGGCAAAGCCCTTTCGACCCCTCGATCTCCTTCTTCCCCCTTTTCTTTTCTTCTTCCTCTTCTTTCTTTCCCTTTCTCTCCTCTTTCCCTTTCGCTTCTTTTCCTTTTTTTTCTTTTTTTCTTTTTTTTTTGCGGGGGGGGGGGGCCAAGGCCCGCTCGGCCCCCCCCCCCTGGATCCGCGCCTGCTCCCTCTCTCCTTCACACTTCCTCTACTGTCAATTATATTCTTACACAAGAAGAAAAGTCCTGAACTGGAATGTACATCTTTGGTATAAAGCTAGACGATGAATATGATGAACTCAAAGTCTAACGGATCACTTTCTAGGACATCGCTGCATATATCAAGAGGGACTTGAAAAAACAATTAATTACCCTCCATATGTTTTGTAACCTGTCTTTCCAGACTCTACGAATGATCAAATATCTGAAGCGGGCTTTCAAAGAGATGCTGAAGGAGAATGAATGGATGGATGACAACACACGAGAGGTCGCGGCAGAGAAGGTAAGACCCCCAAGAAAACACACTGTCCAGTCCTGAAGTGAAGGTATCTGGTGGTAAACGGTGGCTGTTTTTTTTTATAACGATGACGTAAAGTTAAGACGCTTCACATTAAAAACACAGAACATATACGCGTAGGACCTTTGATGCGTGCAGTTGTCAGTCATTTCAATGTAAAAGAATGAAAACGCGCGGCAGGATTTTTCTTTTCTTCGGCGGTTCACCGCATCATATTTGAACAAGCCTTTACTTGTGTTTGCACGTGCCCACAACTGTTCTGATTCTTAAACGTTTTCTAAAGTTCCTCGGTTATAAGCTTGACAGCACTCTTAAATCAAATACACTTTCTCCATGTCATTTATGATAATACCATTTGATTGATATGAATTGGACGCAAGTTCGATAGGAATCATTTCCATTCAATACATAATATCATTGTTATACTTGATTTCTAAGTGATATACATTTGTTTTTTCCCCCCTCCGGTTATACGTGTTCTAGTGCGATGCTATGCAAGAGCTTGTCGGATATCCGGATTGGCTTTTTGATGAAGAAAGGCTGAACGAGGAGTATGAAGATGTGAGTCGGATATATTTGTTTTAAAATAGAAAATACATCTTGTAAAGAATGTATGATACAAGTAACTTTGAGGAGTATGCATATCAACCTAAAATGATCAGGGATGTTCTTCTTTCTCATGTATTTAATAAAAAAAAATTGAATTCGGTCATGATTTCGAGGCCTATTCATTTCGACGCCTTTTCAAACTAAGGGGAATACTGAAATGCTGTACATTTTTAAATTTTTTAAAATAAAGTCTTCTTCTATCGTAGCGGAAGTTTAATTCACAATTGTATACGTAAAACCATTACTAAACAGCATTGTATTAATGTAGATATGTGCATTAGAAACATATGTTGACTGATTGTATTAACGCATCATGTCAAATACATGTAGCAAACACCTTCAAACCTTCTCTGCAAAATATTGACAGAAATATTAATAAATAAACAAATGTTTATATAAAATATGAAAAATTTATAGTAATTATTTTGAACTATTTCAACAGCTTGATTTCAGACTAAACGATTACTTTGGTAACATTCTTCGCTACGTCGGCTGGTCGGCTAACGAGAATCTGAAGAAACTGAGAGAGGAGGTAGATCGAGATGGGTAAGCATGATATGAAACCACACTATTTGTTTGAGCTTGGGACAATCAACTCGTTTTATGATTTACTTCTCAGCAATTGTCACTGGAGCATGCGTCGCATTATTTTCATTTTGCGCAATTAAGAAGAGAAAACATGCGGGTAACAGTGATCCTCTTATTTTTATAGAGCCTATTTAGCAGAAAAAGGAAGAGATTATTGATTATTATTATTTACAAAAACAACTCCATCTTGAAGAACAATTTCAACATTTCGTCAGTCAGATCTATCACTGTGAAATATTTGTTAATGCGCTTTAGAACTTATTAATGATTTACGTTGTTTTTGTTGTCATTTCTTTTGATTCTAGATGGCTGATTGGACCCGCAGTAGTTAATGCATACTATCGATCTAACCAAATCGGTAAGAATATTGTTTATAATCATATAACAAAAAAATGCTTCTGATTATGACAGTATTCAGAAGAATAAAAGTTGTAAGTGTAATGGAAAGAAAAAAAAATGTTTGAATTTTTACAGTTAATTTTTGATGATTCAAAAAAATGTCCATAACAGAAATTGATTAGATAAACACTTGATTCAAATTTGTGATCGTCAGTTCTTTTGGCTATCAATGCGACATGCTTGCTGATACATTGTACGGCTTCATATCAAGTGATGGCGCTCTAACAACTCATTCGATAAGCTTCACCAACACTGTTCAGTGATTTTGAAGATGGCAATTCCTGCCAATGCTTTGTTGCATGAGCTTTGGTCGCCTGTCCAAGCGGTGATAATGAGAATGACATTGTTGTGTTGATTATAAAACACAAAACATAGTAAAGCTACTCCCAAAAGTTCACTGTTGCCAGTTTTAAAAGTGTTATGGAATGACTGTCCGCCTAGTCACAGTGATTAATTAGATTGTATAGGAGCGGGTTCTAATATCTCCGTCGGCAGGAAGCGGGGGTGGGGTGGTCATAGGCCCTAATCAATTTTTTACAATCCATGGGGAGGGGATAGTGAGCGACTCTAGTCTGCACCCACCAATCCACCTATAAATTAAAGATACGTAGTAGTATGTTTTTTTTTTCTTCCTTTGTTTGCAGTGTTTCCCGCTGCGATTCTACAGCCGCCATTTTACCATTCCGAACTTCCGTGGTATCTGAATTTCGGCGGGATTGGGATGGTTATCGGACACGAGATCACTCACGGCTTCGATGACAGAGGTAACACAGTCATTACACATGTCACAAGATGTCACACTATTACAATAGTCAATGACAAATGCAACGTATCCAAATAATCATACATGTCGAATGTCACACTGAATTAAACCACTCGATGACAGAAGTAACGTAACAAAATGATCACACAATTCATAAAATTAAATGGCAGATGTAACGTAACGAAAATGATTTAGTAAAAATGTAACTTAAAGAAATGATCATGGTCGATGAAACAGTATAATTATGCACTTAATATGAAGTGCCAAAAATGCAACGACACACTAACTCTTTGTCCATTTCCTTCATTTTTCTTCGCAGGGAGACGATATGACAAGGATGGAAATTTAGTTCAGTGGTGGAGTAACAGCTCTATTGAAGCATTTAAGGGCAGGGCTGAATGTATAGTGGATCAGTATTCAGAATATGTCATGCCTGAAAACGATATGAATGTAAGTAGTTTTTCACAATCAAGGCATGTTCTGTACATTGATAAAGGTGTATGTATTCTTTTAGGGATATCAAGCACAATATATAATGGGGTCTAGAGCTCCTGTAATATCGTGTTTAGCACGTACAAATATCAGCATTGATCGTAAAGCATTCCGAAAAGGTCGAACGTCTAGGAACGGATGTTTCTCACCGATTTTCACAATCTCAATTACAATATGTTAATCTTCTAGCTCTTTCGTTCTAACTTTTAGCACGTACTAATCTCGTGATAAAGTCTTGCTACATTCTGAACAACTCGCGATTCTAATGGGTGATATCTGTCACCAATCGTCGATATGATGTTAAAACGCGATACAACGAGCTTCGGAGCTTACACAATACAACATTTTAAGCACGTACTAATGTCATGATTAGCTCAACAGTTATGGTGACATTTCATGAGGAGCACGTATTGCTGTGACAAAATTACCAGCAGTTATAAATGTTATTCAAATAAGAGGACACATTCAATTCCGTCTTGATGTGGACGTGATGTGTTCCGTGAAGTAGAAAGTTGAAACATACGCATCGTATCTCGTATTAAAGAGATATACTGAACATATCAAAAGCTCGATCGAAATAAGCCTAATTTTTTGACCATGCTTAAATATTTTTGATAAGCTGTTTAAGAAATGTTAGTTTCATCATTCTTTGTTTATTTTTAAAGTCTTGAGCTACTTGTCTCGTAACCAGTTATTTATATTTTTGTTATTCTTTCTCCTAATATTTTACAGCTAAATGGCAAATTGACGCAAGGAGAAAATATAGCAGACAATGGAGGCCTCAAACAAGCATTTAGGGTTGGTATTACATGTACATGATAAAGACTAGGGGTGTGTGTGGGTGTGTATGTGGTGTGTGTGGGGGGAAGAGAGCGCGAGGGAGAGAGAGAGAGAGAGAGAGAGAGAGAGAGAGAGAGAGAGGAGGGTGAACGAGGGAGAGATAGAGAAGTGGTTGAGGAATACAAAGATAGAGGAAAGGGAAATATAGGCGTAAATGTTTTTTTTTTACATCGGAAGGGAATTAAGTATACTAAGAGAACAGCGTTAAAGAGGGAGTAAAGAAAAAGATGAAATAATAAGAGAGAGAGAGAGAGAAAAGAAGAGAGTGAGAGACAGGGGAGGGGATAGAGGAGAGAAAGAGAGAAAGAGAGAGAGAGAGAGCTAGAGAGGGAGAAAGAGAGAGAGAGATGGGAGAATGAGGAGAATCAGAAAGGATGGTTTTTGAAAGTATATCATCTTAATAAGATAATGCATAATTTAGACAAGTAAACGAATCAATTGTACCTAAACACGTGCAAAATGCTTGATGAATTTGACTGACTGACTAAACGGTCTTTTTAAAAAAGGTTTTACCGGTTGCGCAACCATCCGTAAGCATTGGGATGCTAACACTTTTAATTGTACTTTTTTCATCCATGACGTCATCCTAGGCATATAAGACAATAGTAGCAGACACTGGAGAAACACCGCTCACGCTCCCGGGGCTAAACCAGACGCAGGAACAACTATTTTTCCTCAGCTTTGCACAGGTTCGTGTCTTTGCATCTCAACAGCGAGTTATGATTTCACCCTCAATAACGATCTAGTGCAAGGAAGTTACATACACGCCTTAGGTTATACATTTCGTTGTCCTCTTCTTTGAATATCCTGGATGGGATGGAAAGTTGAACGTATTTCATCTTTAAAATTAAAACATATTATATGAAATGAAGAAATGGAAAATAGACAAAATCATTGACCGAATAATCACAGTAATTTCTCTATTTCAATGTAATGTTTGAAGTATTGTGATGTAACTATCGCGTATAGTTCACAATAAATTCATATCTCATATCATATTACATCATATCGTATAATATCAATTCCAAATCTTTCTCAATTTTCTGTATACATAAAACTGAAATAAATAGCTAACATAATATGTGAGGTGACGGTTAGCCCAAATATTTCAAGTAAGGGTAAATACGTACTCTCAAAGGGATAGACATTTGAGCGTTTTAACCCTTAACTTGCCACTGTTGCCGAATAGTACTTTCGTTGCGTTCCATGTAAGCTGATTGACACAATAAACTGCCAGGAATCAACGTTGGGATTTCACTATAAAGAATTCAGCACAATATATATTTCTTTGATTTTTCTTCTTCACTTATTCAGGTATGGTGTAGTTCGTTTCGACCTGAGGGTCTTACGGCAAGAATATTAACAGCATCACATGCCCCCGGAAGATACAGGTGATTATGATGTCATTTCTATTTTTAGATACATGTATCACTCTGCTTCAACTGCAATTCTAATCTGTTATGAAGTTGACTTTTGAGAAAAATCAAAAAAATTGTGAAAGTTTGAGGAAATAAATAAAAACGAAAAATATGATTTTGTTTGTTTTTATGTTTGGGAGTGGAGTTTTCTTTGTAATCGAACAAGTAAAATGTGACATTTTTTCTTTCTCTGGCAAACACATCTCACTTTTTATTATCTAGACGACAAAGATCGGTTTTCTCCAAAGGAATTGTAATTATACAATACTGGATAGATGTGTATGCTCACGCCCTTGATGAATACATGTAGGCTACTTTGACGAGATGCAGCATTTTCTTTTTTTATTTGCCTTATTACAAGCGCTAATGTCATCCTATCGCTGTTAAAATTGGAAACAGTTAAAGTTTTCTTGTTTTTACCTATTACTAGTACTTGAGCTATTTGTGATGTGATATAAATGCACTTCGTCAATGTGTTTTAACATCGCGTCTTCTTTGTGGAATCTCATTTCTTCTTTCACAGAACTATCGGGCCTGCGCAGAACATGCCTGAATTCGCCAAAGTGTTTGGGTGTAAGGACAACGATTATATGGTACCCACTGACACCTGTACGGTATGGTGATGACGCAGTCAGGAACGAAGACTACTACTACTACTTCTCAATCATTGTCAGGGAATTATGACATCACAATCAAGCGAGCCTGATTGATGACGTATGAGATAGGGAAACCAATCATCAACGTATATGAACAAGCGTAATCACGGCCCTGTTATTTCATATTTGGTAAAATATAATTTTCAAAAAAAGGCAAATCAATGTAAAGGGGTCGCATTTGGAACTACAAACGAAAGTTTAATGGAAACTGTAATATGTCATTATAGCTCAGGAAGTTGTATACTTACAAGATGTTATTGATATAGTTATAAGTAACCCGCAAGTCAGCATTTCTACAATGTTAATGAGCATGATAATAACAGTTATAATAATAAAAAAATCAGAATGATGGTAATGAAGATAATAATTATGATAATAGTAAAAATTATTATTTAGGATGATAAGAATTATAGCAGTAATAGAAATAGTATGGTAAATATGATAATAATAATAAAAATACTAATGATAATGATGGTATTAATAATAGTAATAATGATAATAATAATGATAATAACGACAATTCTAAGAATTATAATAATAACAATTGACAGAATATAATAAAACCAGTAGCATTAATGACAACAGTGATAATAATTATATGAATAATATTATAATTGATATTGATCGGTATTGGACCCCCTTTTCCTAAATCCTAGCCCCACCTCTACAGAGTGTATGTTCACTGATTATGTAAGGTATGTCTTCAATCGCTTTTTTAATCGTTCCAATGATTGACGAAGAGGGCGTTTTAGAAAAGGGTGAGTTTTTAAACCGCTGCAAAAATACTGATTTCAAAAATATGAATAAAATCTGTATCAGAGGCTCTTCACTTGTCTTGAATCATGCATTAGGGTCTTATCATTTTCATTTTTTTTAATGGGATTTTGTTTTGAACCTCACTTAAGTGTGCACAATCGTAAGGAAAACATACATATTTTTGTGTTGTTTTATTTGATTTGATTTGACTGAAACAATGCTCCCCCCTCGGATAAAAAAAAAACCCCATTAGTTTATCAATATTGTATATATGCAAGGTCGAGCAACGTGTTTGATTGTTTTTCATATAATTTTGTGATTAAAGCTATTATACCAAAATATGCACTATGTAAATTACAAATATGAGCAAATATGAATTTAATGCCGTATGGAATACGATTTTGATGCTCGATCGTGATATTTTGTCGCAAATTAAAACTATTGTTTAGCCCATTTCCTATATTGTAATCTTTACTTTTTACACCAGATATTGTTCAAACAAAAATTACATGCCTTGAAAATCCAAACTTCGTAAAGATATATCATGTGTGAAAATCTTGGTTGATATACCGATGATATTTTGAATGATATTGAGACGAGAAAGGTACCTGTATGATAATGTTTTTAAAGAAATATAATGATACACTTTTTTTTGCAGTGCGTGCTCAACTTAAATAAGTGTTATAATTTAAGGAGCATTTTACGGTTGAATTTTATTTGATATATTTTGCTTGAATTAAAACGTGTATTGTATTTTTGGTTATTATTAGACTTTCATTGGTAGATTTTAGAAAGGCCTATAAAAGAACTTTATCATATTAGAGAATTAATCAAATTTGTATCACCAATGCTGCTTTTATTATCAGGATAATATAGGCCATTGAAGCACTGTGTATCACCATGGTTACAAGATAATATTCAAATCTATTTACCACTCATATTCATGACTTGGTTGCACCATAGAGAAGGAAAACGTTCATAGTGTACACCTATAGCAAATTTGTGATAGATTTGTTTGTCTTTTGAATTTTACATACATATTTATTGTATCGCTTGGTATAGTGATTTCAATGTAGCACCTTCTGCTGTTTTTGTGGTATTATTTAATTTACGATTTAAATGGAATCTATTCTGTATTTCAGCTGAGCACAAGCATATTAACAGGTAAAGGTTTTTAATCATTTTAGTTTTATCTAGCCTTGCAGTGAAATACAAAAACTCCTAGTTCTTTCTGTGTGAGAAGTGGATTCAAATCTCTAAAATACTCGTTGTTGTAGTTTCTCCCGCTTTTTTATGCGACACCTTATACTCTCCTTACTGTCAGCACCTAGCTCAGCTAACCATACTATCTTCATTGACGTGTGTAAATTATGTACTTTCAAGTTCAAATTCAGAGATGTTTTCATACACTTGTATATTTATATCATTTCTTTTGGTATTAATATTAATTACAATTATATCGTTATGTATTATTGCCTAGTCGGTGAAATGTTGTGATTTGATACTGAAAAAGAAATTGATATTATAACCGATATGACAAAAATATGTTTTGGATGTCATTTGTGTTTTTTAAAGTACGAGTGAGAAGAGTGGTTTAACAATTGTGAGTAAACCTATTTTTGAAGGCGCGGCAATGAACAAAACATTAAAATACAATTTAAAAACAATATTACTATTACTGCTACTGCTACTATTTCTTCTTTTACTACTACTACTACTACTACTTCTACTACTACTACTACTACTACTTCTACTACTACTACTACTACTACTACTACTACTACTACTACTACTACTACTACTACTGCTACTACTACTACTATTATTTTTACTACTACTACTACTACTACTACTACTTCTACTACTATTACCACTACCAATACTAAAACTACTTCTTCTAATACTACTTGTGCTACTACTACTATCACTGAAATGATAAAAGATAATGAAAAAGGCAAAAATTATATGACTATAAAAGAAGTATTTCTACTGCACATTTGTTTAATAAGTACCGCGCAAGGCGCTAACATGTAATATCTCTCACGTACAAATTAACTTTGTAAGCAAGGAAATATTTCAACAGCAATCGAGCTCTGGGAGATATAAAAATGACAAGCCGCTTGCAAAAAAGACTACTATACCGTGGGGAATGATCCAAACTAGGATGAACATGCTTGGAGATTAGCTTGACCTTTCGGATATCCGTTTACTGACACGGCCGAGACATCGTGGATTTGATTTAGCGATGGCGGGTTGCATGATTTAACATGCCACTTCAACGTTACGACTAATGAATTACAGATCACATAGCTTGAATCTTGTTCTGGAGGACTTTAAGGGGTACCAATTGGAGGGCAACAAGGGCATGGGCGTGTGAAAGAGGGTAAATATGAGAGGATGAAGGGGGTAGAGGATATGAGAAGGAGGGGTTAGTAAACTAAGTATTTAAAGCAGTGGTGTAGCGTGGGTTCAGACCATAAGGGGGGGGGGCACCTGGATGATAATGGAGCACGATAAGAAAGGGAGGGGGGGGGGGGGGGAGTCAGAGGATGTGAGAGTAATTAAAAGCAGTGGGTCCACACTCCGAAGGGGGAGCATAAGGGCAGGGATGTGTGAGGTGTTAAAGATGAAAGGGTGTGTGTGTGTGTGTGTGTGGGGGGGGGGGGGGAGGGGTGAAGGAACTGATCGTAATTAAGAGTAGTGGCGTAGGTCATGCCTTGAATTGGGTGTCATGATGGGGGGGGGGGGGGGAGATGGCGGCCGTATACTCGTTGAATGAAATGGGATGTTACAATGAAAATGATTAACTAAGAGGGTGCGGTTAGGTGTCCTATCATCCTTTTTTTATTGCGTTACCCCCTTTAAGCTTTGCTTTTCCCTTTAAATTCTATTCTTCCCTTTTCTACTTCTCATTTCTCCATTTCGACAATGGAAATAAAAGTCACCTTTAAATAGCGCTTGAATACTTAGTTCATAAATGGTTGTTATCATTATTATCAAGGTCATTAGATTGCTAATCAGCAGATCATAGTGCACACGCCCCACTATCTGGAGAGTATTCCGTCCAGGCGCCATTTTATCGGGCGGGACTCGAACCGCAAATCATGTAATAAAATAAAGTCCGGTTACGTATCCACGACATGTATTTCCTTTTTGTATTTCCCTCTTTTCCGCCATGGGAGACTGTGGTGCACCCCCTCCCCACCCTTCCCCGTTAATACTCCGCTCCTGGTGAAGAGGAAAGGGGGTAGTGTGTGAATACAATGGCGCCGTATAAATCTCGTGTATTTGGCATCAAAGGATTAAAGATACAGTTTTATCTGCGGACAGTCAACAGTCAAGCGGCACGAAAGAGGGAGATACAGATATTTATATAGACAAACTGGAGAGAGAGAGAGAGAGAGAGAGAGAGTGTGTGTGTGTGTGTGTGTGTGTGTATGTGTGTGTGTGTGTGTGTGTGTGTGTGACAGAGAGGCAGAGAGAGAGAGAGAGAGACAGGGAAATATTTATTAAAATAATAGATGGCTTACTTGCACAAAACTAATCGCATACAAATTAATTGTTATAAGAGCAGCATCTCTGTAAAAGTACGACCTGTTTACTTTTTTAGGATGTGGGGAAATGGGATTGTGACCTTTTATTTTTTATTTTGCACCCGCTTCACTTTGTCATTTTTCATATTTTTGTCAGAGATATCTTGACATTGTGCTTCCACCTTCCCTTGATCCGCCCCTGCCTCCGGCACCACCCAAGCGGCTCCGTCTTATCCAAGATGGGAGTCATAAATAAAATATCTGGTATGTGGATTACCCCCGTCAATATATCACAAAATGAATAAACATGAAGATAATTATCAATGTCTTGTTTGACGTTGATTGAGCTGTCCTGTGGTAGGTTGATCTCCTTTCCTGACATCCGTGAATAGGTTATTAGTTCGCTAGTCTTAACGATTTCGAATCACTGCGCAGGTGAAAGGTAAACGTTTTGGAAGAAGATGAAACGGTCTTTGCCCTAATGTGCAGTGACCAGTTTAATGGTCCTACCAGATTTAGGTGTAATTAGCCGCCAATATGTCACATCGTAGGTCAATGACGTAGCTACATGGCAGGGCCATCAAAGGGCACGTGCTTTACAATATAAACTGGTGTACAATGTAGATGGGGACAATAGGATATAGAGAATAAAGAAGGATGGTGCAGGGAAATTCGAAAAGAAGATGATTACGACCTCTCTCCAAGAACATTCCCCCTAATCAACGGCCTTGTTATTTCGCATTTCATCCAGCAAGTGGATGGTGTCCCCTCATCTAGACCAATTGTGGATCAGGCGAAGGACCGTTCCAAGACCATTTTAAATAGGTACGTAGGACCAAATATGTTCTGCAATTTAGCTATACAACTCTCAAACTATTAAACCAACAAGCAAGACAAACATAATATATAAACAATAGTCCTCATATTTCCAAAATGAAAAAAATGGGAACATTCGTTTTATATTCTTGAATTTACCGCAGGTGTTACGAAATCATAACGAGAAAGGAGGAGGAGAGATAGCGAGAAACAGAGAGAGAGAGAGAGAGAGAGAGGGAGAGAGAAAGAAAGAGAGATAGAGAGAGAGAGAGAGGGAGAGGGAGAGAGAAAGAAAGAGAGATATAGAGATAGAGAGAGATAGGGAGAGAGAGAGAGATAGAGAGAGAGAGAGAGAGAAAAAAAAAAAAAAAAAAAAAAGAGAGAGAGAGAGAGAGAGAGAGAGAGAGAGAGAGAGAGAGGGAGGGAAACAATTTGAATGGGGGCATTACATCCTCATAAACATGTACCCCTCCCAATCTATCGACGTCACTTCTGATGATAACACATTGCCTTATCCCATCCATCTCCTGTCTTGGGTTAGAATGTCGCCACATGTCAACCATTCCTGTATCCTTAACCGTTTTTAACCGTCGGTGCACCAGCCATGTATAAGGTGAACTGTATTTTTAAATTATGGTAATAAGCGAGTTAACGGAGATTGTATCTCCGTGGTAGTAGTCAAGCCATCTGTTCTAGGGGAATTATCGATAAGCTTGAACAGTTATGTGACATATACATCAAAAGCGTGGCGTAGTCCCACCCAACCGTTCACGATAGATTCAAGATTAAAGGTATGCTCTATTTTATTTGTCCGTGGTTGAGTTATTCAGAGCAAGTCAAACTTTGAAACATATTTCAAAGACTTAACCTTAGATATCAGCTCCTTAAGAATTCCCCCCTCCCTCACTCTTTATTTTGTTTTCACAGCATTATCCCCATATGTATATACCTTTTTTTTTACTGCCCCACCACGGTCATCACCACCACCCCCACCACACGATTCCCTCCATTAAATATCCATGAAGCTTTGATCAATCAACGGTACATTCTATTAAGAACTATATGCCTATTCATTCATTATTACTGGTACCAGTACCACTATTACAGCCACGTAATAACCACTTATACATCTACCATGATTGCTACAAAATTCTATCTCTACTAAATCATTTGACCTTAAACTCTCTTATCACTACGTTACGATCTAATCAAGATAGCAGTTGTAAAACGGAGATATTGTGGAGGAGAAAACATGAGAATGCAATTAGATTTTCATGGAAGGAAAACGGAAGCAGACAGCTAGATGCAGGGGTGACTAATTATGATGTGATTGGGGCATATTTGTAGTTTTGGGAGGAGTATTGTGAAGAAAAAAACCCAATAATATGTAAGAAACAAACAATAAATAAACTGGTGTGATATGGTTGAATCTATGATGAGGGGATGGGGGGGGGGGGGGGGGGGGTGTGACAAACAACAACAACAAGTAATTGTAAAAATGTACCATGCTTTGTTAATTTCCCATGGAATGTGAATAAAAGCCATCAAAAAGGTATCTTGTGTTGGGGGAAACAGGAGAACATCATTACGTTCCTATCGAGGGGAAACGGAAGCAGATAGGTGAAGGTAAGAGTGTAACTAATTATGATAATGGTGGGGTGTAACTGTGGTTGGGGTTTGGGAAAAATAAAATTTAAAATTGCATATTACGTGAAGTTACAATTAAAATGATATATGTTATTAGAGAGAGAGAGAGAGAGAGAGAGAGAGAGAGAGAGAGAGACTGAGAGACAGAGAAAGAGAGGGGGTGAGAGGGGTGAGTGATGTGTATTTGTATGTGTGCGTGTTTGGTTGCATGTGTGCGTTTGCGCGTGTGAGTATGCGTGGGTGTGTGTGTGTGTGTGTGTGTGTGCGAGAGAAAGAATGAAGAAAGGGTGTAAATCTACGAGGTGATGATAACATGGATAAGTAGAAGTCATGCGATAAAGCTGCATGCGAGTGCCTAGAAAATATCCGGATCCATGCAAATAGGATGACAAATGAAAATAAGAAGAGGAAATCACAAAACCCTAATAAAACATGGTGATACTGTACATGGAAAGTAGATCGGTTTGTAAGATAAAGAGGAAATAAAAGAGATATGGAGGAAGACGAGAATGAATAGAGAGAGAGAGAGAGAGAGAGAGAGAGAGAGAA